CTTTGCATAAGCAATCTTCTTCGATTTCTACGGCTTAACAGTAGCAACAATCCAATTTCGACTTCGTTATCCGCCATCTTTGATTCCTGAGAGGTGAACGGTGCCTGCGCAATAGCCATCCTTATGATTATGGTTATGTAATCCCGGTTCACACATATTTTTCTTATGCTTATGCTCATGCTTATTCTTGTGTCAAAGTGTGAGCCAGCCCGTAATCGCCAGATTACTGCCTGAGTTGTTCCACTCGCTCCAATTAATATTACCATTTTTTCCGATCTGAATCATGATGTATATCAATCTTCACTTGGACCTTTAGGTCGAATGATGATAGCTTTAAGAGCACCATAAGAATCTACAACTGGCCCAGAATAAGAGATAAATGTTATGTAAAAGTACTGGTCATTGGAAGAAGATCCGTGTTCAAGGTCGAGAGTTACAGAACAGACCAAAATGGCCTGTTTGGATACAGCACTGATATCACAAGGCCGACTATTTTCAATTCTTCATTATCAGCTGCTTGRCTTGAYTACAGGTGCGCACAGCCACCAGAAAATACATATATCGTAGTWAGGCCAYRTRCAGCAGGTTGCCGTTTCTACAAAGCAGCAAGCGGTTTACGACCTTATCAAAACCGTCTTTGCGGCTCCAGACAATTTCCAATTCCGCAAGGAGAAGAGCGTTCAATATGTGACGACCGACCATTTTATCACAACGGCATCGATGGCTTGTATAAACCTTGGTATGGATCGTTTGGCACTGCACAGGGCAGCTGCCGAGCAGGACTGCGACCGTTCAGATTTATCGGGTCTATGTTTTCTAGAGGCTACGCATTATATTACGACTGTAGGTATTAAAGTATTGACTCAAAAAAATGGCGAGCATCAAACGGTGATCAGCTTTGCCAGCACTCAGTTTCCGCAGGGATTAATTCCGGATAAAAAAGCGCCACAGTTTGTACTCATGGCTTAAGAATTCGGTATAATTTCAAACTAAAATTCGTCAACGACCTCTTATTAATACATCTGTCAACTTGAGAAACCTCTTCTTGACAAATTATGCTTTAACCAAATCTAGACCACTCTACGAAATGGTCTAAATTTGGGCTGATGGATAAATGACATATGTCGCCTCTCCGAGTCTTTCAGAACCTCTAAGTGACCTTGCTATATCTAGCCTTAGCTTGCTAAGTGTCCTTAAGATGGACATCCTAATAGGCCCTTTGCAGCTAAGCCATCACGTGACCTATTTTTCATAAAATTATGGGCTTTAACTTAATGAATGCCAGAAATGGAGAAAGCATGTCGAAAATATCAAAATAGCCAAGTTTGAGGCCCGGCCCATCATTAAAGAATGAGATTTTATGACAGTCTGAATTTTTAAAAGAATAAGAAGATTTGTATGGAAAA